CAGTCTTATTTAACCCTACTTGTTGCTTATTTCAGGACCAAAGATCGGGGTAGAAGATTGGACTTGCTAACGAGTGTGATGGATTGTACTACTTAGAAGAGCTGAACAAATCTAATATTATCAATAATTGCTATTCTATGTTATCCCTATTTGATAAAAAATATACTATTTTGCTTCATCATTTTAGATTAGTTCATCCATCTTTTGATATCTTAAGAAATATGTAACAAAAACTTTTTTATTAGTTGAAAAATGAATCTTTTCATTGTGAAACCTATGAGTTAGTCAAGCATAAACGAATTTCTTTTTCAAACAAACATGAGAGATGTAATACTTCATTTTACCTTATTCATAGTGATATTTGGGGACCCTAAAAAATTCCTAATGTCTTAGGAGTCCGATGGTTTGTATTCTTCATTGATGACTATACTAAAGTCTCTTGGATCTTTCTCCTAAAAAATAAATCCAATGTTAGCACTATCCTCCCAATTTTTCATACCATGATCCAGAACCAATTCGGGATAAAATTAAAAAAATTTCATTCAGAAAATGCTAAAGATTACTTTAATCAATCCCTGTCCTCCTCCTTCCAAAAAGAAGGTATCATTCATGAGTTTTCCTGCATTCATACCCCACAATAAAATTGGGTTGCAGAAAGAAAAAATGATCATCTTCTAGCCTCCATCTGTGTGCTTTTATTCCAACACAATGCACCCAAATTCTAAGGGGGGAAGCCCTCTAACTATCATATCTCATAAATTGACTACCTTAAAAAAACTTGAAACTTTAAACACCAATGAATATTCTATCTTCTTTTTCCCCCGAATTCTGAACTCATAATAACCTTACACCCATAATCTTTGGGTGTACTACCTATGTTCATATGCATAGCCAAAATAAAAAAAAATTTAAATTAAAGAGCACTCAAATGTATCTTTGTTAGATATTCATTCACTCAAAAATGTTATAAGTGTTATTATCCCCGCACCGAAAAAACTCTTATATTTTTTGACATTACCTTTGATGAATAAAAATCCTATTTCACCAAACCTCATCTTCAGAGGGGAGACTGTAATTAAGAAAGATGAGGAAAGTGAGTTTTCCCCTCTTGACCTTCTAGCTCCACCTCAAATCAATCCACAAAAATCAAAATCAAAACCAGGGAAACTGAGAATAAAGTTGTTATAGATAACAGTAGGTTTGGGCAAGTGTATTCCAGGCGTACAAATCTAAATTATGCTCCAGAGCAGATTTAAGAATCTAAACCGTCTTATGAAATTGAGGTAAACACAAGTTCACCAAAAACAACTCCCTTGTATCTTTTAACCAACTTTGTATCCTTCCATAACTTCTCACTGTCACACAAAAATTTTTAGGTATACTAAATGATATTTATATTCCTAACAATATTTCTTAGGCCTTATCTAATGAAAATTGGAAAAGTGCCATGAAAGATTGAATGCATGCCTTGGAGAAGAACAATACATTGGAGATCACCGACCTACCAATAGGAAAAAAATCAATTGGCTGCAAATGGGTGTTCTTTGTGAAATACAAAGCTGATGGTATATTGGAAAGGTATAACACAAGAATGGTGGCGAAAGGGTACACTCTGACGTACGACATTAACTACAAGGAAACTTTTGCACCGATGGTCTAGATGAACACCGTGAGGATCCTGCTCTCTCTAGCTACTAATTACAACTGGCATCTGGAACAGTTAAATGTCAAAAATGCATTCCTACACAAGAACTTGGAGAAAAAAATATTTATGGAGATTCCACCATGATTTAAGGAGAAATCTGGGGGTAACAAAGAGTGCAGGTTAAAAAAGGCTCTATATGGGCTCTATATGATTTTAAATTGCATGGATCGAGTATCATAAGAATTGATTTAATTGACATTAAAAAGGAAAAGCTAAAGTAAAATGTAGCTTGAAGATAAATATGTATGATGGAGCATTGACTATTATATTATGAGTGGTTGGGAGGCTTCCAATCATAGTACCGTTAAACTAAAGGTCACCACCATGATTTTAACATGTTGATTTTACTACGAATGCTTTTAATAAAAGAGATTTAAATAAGTTACTCTATTTTATGTTCTTTTTAGATGACATTATTGATAGATGCGAGATCTCTTGCAAGGAAGATTTTTTTTAAGAGACAAATTTAGGTTTGGTAGGACACTAATCATTTTGTGATATCCTACTCTAGTGAACGTGAAATCAATAATTTATCAATTAATATTGTTGGAAGGTCAACTGATATATAGATGTGATGATTTTAAGTGTCTTAAAGTTTTTAGGTAAAAGAATGTAGATATAAATAAGTATATATCTTCTACATTTAAAATTGGGTGGTTAAAAAAGGGAAGTAACCTAGGAATACTTTATTAAAAAATCATGATATAAAAGATGGGTTTATAAACTACAGTTATATTGGTTATATTGCATGGATCTAATTATCAATAAATAAAGAAGTTGATGACTTTTAAATTGAGTGTTATAGAAAATATAATCTTAGGATGGATTTGTTGGTAAACAAGGAAGTATTTAGTGATATGATTTTAAAATAGTTAATAGAATAATAGTGGAAATTATTTTAGGTGGCTTTGGGTATAATAAATGGCAAAAGATGCACAAATATAATGGGATTTAACAAATTGGAAAGAATTGAAGGTAGATTATGTCGATTTTGAATTTGTCTGTGGATGATACTCGACCTTCATGGTAAGGCCTGACTGGGTAAGTGCAAGTGAGTAAGAATTTGGGTGAGGATGGAGAGTAAGGAATGGAATTGGAGAATAGAAAAGAATCTAAAAATTGATCAATGACTTAGAGCTTTTGAATTGACAGAGTTTCCACTATCAGAAGAAGGAAAAAATGTTCCCCTTGACCATTCCTCTTGACCCCTTACTTATAAGGTTAAGGGAGTTACATGAAAGACTACAAAAAGAAAAAGTAAAAAAGGTACAATGCTACATATTCCACAAATACAATGCTACAAAACACTCTAGAGACGTGTCACCCCCTGATCGGATGAGGGATAACCTGGGTTGAGGACTGATCTTTGGGTGAGTGAGATGGTGTTGAGTATGCGCTGAGCGAATTTAGAAGAGGGTGAACTCCGTGGCTTCAAGCAAGTCTGCAAGTTGATGCAGAGCAGGACGAGCCCGAAGATATGATGCTGACTAGAAGTCGCTGGGATCTGTAACAAGCCTTGAATCATTTTGATGGAATGGGTGAGTCAGCTGAGGTAGCTGAGAAATTGATTTGTGGTAGGCGCTTATAAGGCGAGTTGGGAACCCTAGGTAGGCACTTTCCTGTAAATGAGTTGGATGGAGGGGTGGTTGCTTTGAGAGAGAGCGAGTGATTGATAGTGGAATCAGGGCATCTAGCGGATAACTGACTTGGCAGGGAACTTCTTAGTCACCTCGTGTGGGGTGAGCTTTCTGGTGACCTTGACAAGTGACACATGTTGATTTGGTCGGATGAATCCTCCTATGAGCTCTAGGCGAACGTTACCCCCTTTAAGATCATTTAGGTGAGTTCCTCTATGGGCCCCCTTGAAAGGCAAGTCCCCCTTTCATGACATGCTGGATTCCTGTTAAATGTATGTGAAGGCATATATAGATTACTAGTAAATTTTCTATAAACTATTTTAAAAGGACTTGTGAAAAATTGAGTTAATGCCTAACAAAAAACTCAACAAGAATGAGCTGAAGAGAATCCATAAGGCTCAACCCAAAAGTAGGGATAAACAAATAAAGCTGATTATTACAACCCGCAACATGGAAAAATAACATCCTCCAACCATTGTGCCAGGATCCTTTCACAATCATATACTTTATTCATTTGAATTTGATCAAGGTTGCTATGAAAACTAAAGCTGAGATGAAAAACTGTCACATCTGATCGGCTAGTTTTGGACTGTGGCACTGATTATTATTATTATTATTATTGGGTAAATTTTGTTAATATGGGCTTGAATTTCTTGTGATATACATAACTTTTTTTCCCTTCTCATGGTGAAACTTCAGCATTAATGATGGTTCAGGGCATGACAAATCACATTGATTCTCGTACTTGTGAATGTTAAAGTGGCTATAGCTGTCTTTTATTCCATGTGTAGCAATCAGAAATCAGTAATACTGTGCTAATTATTATATGATTCCTTAACTTCTTTAAAACTGAATCTGGCAATGTTTGAGAAAAACGACTCGAGTTGTTTAATTCATTTTTAAACTTTCAAACAGGATCAACAAGCAGGTGAAATTCTCCTTGAATTTCAGAAATGTTATTTAATTATTAGTTTGTCATCTGAATGCTGTCTGTTAGGATCTTCATCGTCGAGCATTTAGTAACCAGTAAGTGCAGGAAGTTTCCGTGCATTAGGATTCTCCAATGTTTAGTTTGGCAAAAGCTGCTAATGTCTTCACATCACTGATGAAATTATTATGATTAACGATGCCCCCCCCCCATATGATGTTAACAGCTCACAACTAAATCACAACATTTTCACCAAATTACTAAGGCGATCTCTGTGTCGTCACTTCGAATATTAGTCTTTGAATTTTTATATTGCCTCATCAAATAATCTTTCTTTGGGAAATCTTTAAATTTTTTTTTTTGGGAAATCAAATAATCTTTCTTGTACTCAACAGTTCATATCACATCTTATCACAACAGTTTTTTCATGGTAAAACAATAAAAGGTGCAGCATTAATTTACTATTTCATTTTGGAAGTTTGTCATCATTCTTGTTTATATGGACTATGGAGGAATTAATGATTTTCTTAATTCGAGGTTGATCACTAACTATGTAGCATTTCAGTAATACTTAGATTCATTCTGTCATGTAACTTTTTGTTCTCTCTATAACTTACTGGAATGTTGCTTTCATATTCAATTATTCTCTTGAAAAATATGTTCATTTCCAATGTTCTTTTTATGTGTCAATCTTTATCTGCATGAATCTCAGTCCTTTGATATTTTGTAGGCCTACGTGACGCAAGAAAATGTTCTTCTGGGAACACTGACTGTTAAAGAAACCATAACATACTCGGCACATTTAAGGCTTCCTTGTAGCATGACCAAGAAGGAGATAGAAAAAGTTGTGGAAACAACAATCGAGGAGATGGGCCTGGAAGATTGTGCAGATGGACTAGTAGGGAACTGGCATATGAGGGGTATTAGCGGGGGAGAGAAGAAGAGGCTCTGCATATCACTGGAACTTCTTACAAAACCTCCTATTCTCTTCTTGGATGAACCCACTAGTGGACTTGATAGCGCAGCAGCTTTTTTTATCATCCAGGCGCTTAGGCAGATGACTCGTGATGGAAACAAAACCATCATTTCCTCCATTCACCAACCAAGCAGTGAAGTTTTCGCACTCTTTGATGATTTGTACCTTTTGTCAGGTGGAGAAACTGTGTACTTTGGAGATGCAAAGCTGGCTACTAAGGTATAGCCCAACTCATTATTTAATCTTAGGCTTTGTTTGGGATGACTTTTTTACTGCTTCTTAAAGCTGCTTTCTAATACAAAAATAAATATTTTTGTATTAGAAAGCAGCTTTAAGCAACAGTAAAAAAACTGTCCCAAATGAAGCCTTAATCCATTCACTAAACGACCTTTTTCCTTTGGACAGTTTTTTTCAGAGGCGGGCTTTCCCTGTCCTGTCAGAAGGAACCCATCAGATCATTTTCTTCGATGTATTAACTCTGATTTTGACCGTGTGAATGCTACGCTAAAAGGATCAATGAAGCGTATTACAGTATGTGTGGCACTACGTCCATATTAATTTCTCTTCATACTTGAAATCTCTACTCCCCCTTACTCCCTTCTTTCCCTAGTTTGATTTGAAAATTCTTTATGAGTTTATGTAAATGTCATATTTACAATTTATGCTATCTATTATGTAGGAGGATGAATCTTCTTCGGATCCCCTGTTGAGATTAGGAACGATGGAGATCAAAGCATTGCTTATCGATAAATACAAAAGCTCAGAGTATGCTATGATGGCTAAAAGGAAGATTGCAGAGATATCCAAGATTGTATACTTCTGTCATTTTCAACAAGAATTTAATTTTAATCCATCAAATGCAAGCAAAATTTAAATTTTTTTCAGATTGGGTAACATTGTTAGTGATGATTAAATAGTGTTTAACTCTTAAGTGTGTTACTTATCCTATATTTCTCTAAGTAATTGATATGATTAAGTCTGTTTAATTCAGGAAGGCTTCACGGTGGAATTTCTTAAGGGCAGTCTGGCTAGCTGGTGGAAGCAGCTCAGAACATTGACAAGTAGATCTTTTATCAACATGCGCAGAGACATTGGCTACTATTGGTTGAGGATCATAATCTATATAGTTGTATCTCTCTGTGTTGGTAGTATATACTTTGATGTGGGGACAAGCTACACTGCTATACTGGCCCGGGCCTCTTGTGGATCATTTATTTCTGGCTTCATGACCTTCATGTCCATTGGTGGTTTTCCATCCTTCCTGGAAGAAATGGTGGTTTTTTATCATGAAAGGAAAAATGGACACTATGGTGTAGCTGTATATACCCTATCAAATTTCCTATCAGCTTTTCCTTTCTTGGTTGCAGTTTCCATTGCTACAGCAAGTATCACCTTCTTCATGGTGAAAGCCCACAATGATTTCCCTCACTATGCTTACTTCGCCATCAGTATCTATACTGGCATTGCCATAGTCGAAAGTATAATGATGGTTGTGGCATCTGTTGTTCCCAATTTTCTGATGGGCATTGTTGCTGGAGCTGGAATCATGGTAAGTAGTTATAGTTTATAAAGGTTTCGTTTGGGTCAATTTTCTTACTGCTTCCTAAAGCAGCTTTTTAGTACAAAAATTTTAATTTTTTTTAGAAAACTATTTTAAAAAGCAATAAGAAAGCCGTCCCAAACAAAGCCAAAATCATAGAAAAAGCAGTTATTTTGTAAGTATTTTCTCCCTTCCCACTCTTATATGTAACATTGCAGGGAATTGTCATGATGACCGCTGGATTCTTCCGTTTGCTTAGAGATCTTCCCAAGCCCATATGGCGATATCCAATTTCTTACATGAACTATGGTGCATGGTTGCTTCAGGTAATGTTTCTATTCAACATTACTGCTGCTCTCAATCTCGTTTGGTTGGCCGCAAGTTCTCCATTCCGATTTCAATCGGTGAAAAAACTATTATTTTACTTTTTGTTTACGCGACTTTTTCAAAATAACTTTTCCTACACCTCCGTAATTCGCCAATCTGAGAAGAAAAAAAATATGCTTCTTCGTTGTAATACCTCCGTTTAACAACGCAAAAAACGTCGGGAGCAACCAAACGAGACCCTCAGCTAAAAAGAAAGCTTCCTAAAGTGTCAATAGGATTGGCATCGTTAGAAAAATACTGAACTTATATTTTCTCAGGGAAATTACAAGAATGACTTCATTGGCGCAACCTTTGATCCTCTGGTGCCTGGTGATCCAAAATTGTCAGGAGAATTTATTCTATATGATACCTTTGGGCTTACCTTGGACCAATCAAAGTGGATAGACTTGTTGATAGCCGTTATAATGCTCATAGTCTATAGGATTCTCTTCTTTCTCATTATCAAATTCAAGGAGAGCACCACTCCTTTCTTCAGAGAGCTCAATGCCAAAGTTACAAGTCTAAGGAAACCTTCCTTCAACCTGAGGAAAAATTCCTTCTCATTATCAAATGGTACTCAGCATCCAATGGCTCTACAAGAAGGTCTGAGCTCTCCACTTCCATGACAATTTTACTACACTGCCAAACCTTCCATACCTTAAAAAAGGAGAAAAAAAAGGAGAGATAAATAAATCTTGTGATTTAAGAAGCATTAGGGTTATATCATATTGTGATTGTATAAACTGTGTAATGTTAAATCCGTGTACTTTTTAAATCCATTCTTGCTCCTGTATTTTATGCGGAGGTCGGACCCAGCTCACATTCAGAGGCAAATCAGGTGCAGCCATGTCAGCAGTATCGAGTAGTATCAAACCGCGGTACACCGCAAAGGGGTGATGTGGCGCATTCTGGTTGGTCTTCGGACGACATTCGGCGTCCGACATTCGGCGTCCGCACATAATAATTAATCTTATTTTAGAGGAGCATTACTGATAAATTTACCTCTCTTTTTTTCATTGATTGGTTTATGATATCTTAGAATATTCATAGGCTTGATGTTTGAAAGGGTCTTTGAATATGGCCATATGGGCGATTTGTTTATGCTGATGAGAGAAGATTCATTAGGGTTTCTATTCCCTTCCTCTGTGCAATTAAATAGCTTGTGGAAATATTGAAAAAGGATTTCCAAACATTTACTAATCATCTTAAGCCTTAATATTTTATCAAGATAGCTTTGAATCTTATATGAATGGTCAATGGTGTCTTAATACAATCATCAACTTGTCAATATCTTTATATTAAAAGGGATGAGAAAAATAATCGAAGTAGATTAAATTATTAGCTGTAGTATAAGAAGTTTAATTAAATAAAGTAATTTAAATTTTAAAATCAAATTTGTATTATGTGTTAAATTCAAATTGATTTAATGGTTCAATTTTAAATATACTTAAATTTATATTTATCATAAAATCCACAATTGCCAACTCATAAATTAATGTATATTAGTTTAGAATATAATAAAAATACTTTGCAGTGTCATTTAAGTATGTTTTTTACTCTTTTTGTTACATTTTTTTCCAAAAAAAAAAAAAGGCTATAAATGAGTCAACAAGAGATCTGATTTAGAAAAAAAATAATTTAGGCAAATTTTTAAACTAATGATGGTTAAGAATGTTATTAGTCAATTAAGCATTGCTAAATAAAAATTTAAAATTAGGCAAAATTGCTCATTTAACAGTCAAATTGCTAGTCTAGTCAACATAAAAGTAAATTTAAAAAAATTGAAAATAGCTAGCCCAGTAGATTGTGATCATAACAAGTCACCTCTTAAACATGCAACTTGCTACAATAACACAAGTATTTTTTTAACATTTTTTTTATTTTTTTTCAGTGAATAAATTAATTATTATATAAATTAAGTTGGTAACAAAAAATATGTTTCTAAAAAATCAATAAAATGTAAAAAATAATGATATTAATGTAGTAAATCACCTGTTTATATATATATATATATATATATATATATAATGCTGATTGGATAGAAAATCGCTCGTTAAACATACAACTCGTTAGTTTTAAAATTTCTTTTATGATACTTCATTATATAATTAATTTTTTAATCATACATGCCTTAAAAATTTGCCCCTTTTTTTCCATTTTTAATATTCTTTATGAATTATTATTGTAATTTCAAATATTCAATTTATTCTTACTAAATTTATAGAAGTTTTTGAATTTTCTAATCAATATTCTTTTTGCAAATTAAGCAAAACCTTTTTAAAAAAATAAATAAAAAAATTAAAAAAAAAATTAAAAAAAAAAAAAAAAGCAAAACCTTTTTTTAGCACCCAGTTGTTTATGAGATTGGGATCAGGTTGACTGTGAAGGTGCAAGGTGGCTTTCACATGGAACCAATTCAATCTAGTTAGCTTTGACCTTTGATATTTTTATGGGTCCCACTTCTTGTAAATTTTGTTGACTAATCAATCGTATGGGCCCCGCATAAAAGAGCCGTTGTGGATCTTTTTCCTGAGTGATATGACTAGGTTATTAATGCAAATGGAAATATTTGACTTTTCATGTTGATAATTAATTACCTATGTTAATTATATATTAAAAAAAACAACTTAAATTTTTTTATTTATTTTAATTATTTTTGTGGTGATAATGTAAGGAATGGCTTTTAATGATAATGTGAAAGCTCCACCTCAAATAAATCTTTTTCTAGACTTATCATTATCTTCAAAGTTACTATGGATCTCAGTTTTATTGCTATGTAGCTTGATTATTGAGCTCATATTTGAGTTCATCATTATTATTTCCCATATGGACTGACTCGGTATCAAAGATGTTAGATTATTCGATTTTGAACCTCCCATTATGAACATATCATGGTCGCATACATACCTCCTTTGATGGATATCAATCACTTGTATACAAGAAGTAACTCGTTAGTAGAGATTGTTCTTGGATATGGCCGAGAAAAATCGGAATAAAAAACTTGCTCCTTTGGGAGATCTCGACCCCTACAATTAAAATAAATCTTATTTGAAGACAAATTTCTTATAGGAGACATCTTATGATAACTACAATCAACTTGCTTTTCTATTGATGCTCATGGGTATATAGTACATTTATCAACTAATGTTAAACTTCTATTGCAATTCTATAACATTTTTTCGAAGCCCACAGATTTCTAGCAGCTTGTTCCTAAGCTTTTCTCTTTCCAACAATTGAGTTAGTGATTTTGTTCTTTTGCTTGCATTTAGATATAGCGCTACATGCACCTGATTGATGTATTCTTTTCAATGGTGTTGCGATCTCTTAACATCAGATAAACTTACTAATATTTGATGATCAAACATGAATAGATGCTTAAATGGATTTCAAGTTAGATAATAGTTTGTTTTGAGGATAATAACAAAAATAAATTGACATAAGGATAGGTGTGAACAAGTGGGGTTTCAAAGATATCAATAAGAGCTCAAGGTAGTTTTGAGTTAGCCACAAAAAAAACATGGTGATGCTTTTGGCATCATTGTCGACGAGGTCTAAGGCTAGGACCACCATATTGTTTGGGGATGGTTTGTTACGTCGCAAGACGTAAATTGAAAGAATTGACTATTTTATCTTTTAATCGTCTAAAAGAACTTCTATAAAATCATCAATGTGTAATTTGAATAGTCTAGTAAAATCATATATATATATATCATATACATAAAAATTTTTCATTATATTCATTCCCCAAAATCAAATTTACAATAGCTACAAGATCATTTAAATCAATAATCTATCTAATGTTGTTGACTACAAAAGAATAAAATAAAATAAAAAAAGAGAAACCTAGAAATCTCAATTTGTCACACTTCATAGAAATTTGGCCCATTTCCTGACCTGAAATCAATAAATCATATAATGAGCTTACAAAACCCATTAGAAGCCCAAAACTCACTAAAGCTTTCAATAAAAGATTTAAAAATTAATATGTTATATTGTATCAATTTTCATTATGAAATAACGGAAACCTTTTGAGTAAAAAAGAAAATGTTTTCTTTCGTGAATACATATATGTTTTGTATATTTTGATCAAATATACAAAACATAAAAACATAAACCACATAAAGAAAAAATAAAGTAGCATATGAATGAAATACAATTTTGATGTATACTAGATGAAAATATCACTCAATCAATAGAATTAATAGCATTCAATGTCTTGAATAATCAGTCATTAATAGTATGACAAGATATGATCAATAACGAAATGCAAGAATCATTACACTTAAATTTATAAACCAACAACAGGTGCTAGAACATTAATGTTTCAATAATCAATAAATCAACACAATAGAGAACAACAAATCGGTATTGTAATCATTCAATATTATCTTTTTGTCAGTGAAGTGAATCGCAAACATATTGGTGTCACATCAATAGGCTATGTATCAATTGTGCTGGCATATGCATGATATAACAATTTATAATATATAAAACCATGAATGATATATTCATAAACTATATATGTATAGACCTAAATAAGGAATGCATGAATCAGTTATATGCTATTAATATCATATAATCAGCAAGATAGGTCATCCTACTTTAATGTGGTATTTTCATTCTTTCATCTATATTATTTGTACAATGTAAATTTTCTAGTCAAAAGTACACAAAAATCCTAAGTTATTATAATGCAAATATGCGCTGAAATTTAATTTTAGCTATCATTTCATTCCTACATGGCTACATACAAGTCAATAAACTAGCCAAATCACTCAAAAAATCATAATAACTAATATGCCTTGTGATTTTCAATAATATTATAGTCAAAATATTCATAAAATTCATATTTATCATATATGAAAAGTTACACTATAAAAGTAAAGTAAATCAAGATAAAATATATATATTTATCGATCTATGATAGATTAGATCTATCAAACTCAAAATCATTGAAAACTAGAGTGGGATTTGGGTAGCCTACCATAAGTAAATGAAATCTCCTAATAGAATCGATAGATGCAAATGCTTTGAATTCCTTTCTCTCTCCTCCCTCTCTCATCCTTCCCCTCCTCTTCTCTTCCTTTCCTTCCTCGGGAAGTCTAAGAACTAGGTGAGTGAGTGGTTGTGTGGAGAAAAAATTATATATAAAAACTCATTTTAATGCATATTGTCATGGTGCCCAAGAGACCAAGCGCCTCTACGTTGCATGCTAAATCCAGAATTACTGTAGAATAGTGCCTTTAATGCCCCTATGGTAATTTTTGGCACTGTATCGCTTCAATTCAAATAGAAATATAAATTCTCATTTTAAATTTATTTTAATAATTAGTAGATTGTTATATGGCCAATCCTAAGCCTCGTCACTATTAACAATACACTTTGGTTGAGGCAGACACCATTTTCCCTCCATAGTGGAATGGTTAAGTTCTATTTTAACCATAAGGCCCTTATTGGGCATGTAGGTGAGCTTCCTTCATTTTAATAAATAAATGCCTCACCCTACACTAATACTAAGGGTAGAGATTGGCCAAGACCTTCTATATTCAATAGAAGCCTACGACATGCGATGGTGGTGTGGTCGGAGGGACGATAGCCTGCGAGCGAATGTGGTCAGAGGAATTATAGCCTACAAGCTATGATGGTTGGAGGGATCTTAGTCGGTCGTCGATGGTGAGGGGCTATAGCCAGCGGGCAATGGAGGTTAGTAGGCAAACTTAATCATAGAGACCGTAGTCGGTAGACAACGATTGTCTGAGGGATTGTCGTCAACGGGCGACGTTGGTCAAAGAGACCGTAGTTAGTAGGCGATGGAGGTCGAAAGAAGGCCTAACGGTGGCTGTAAAACGAATCTTTGACTATGATGGTCGGGTAAAGGTGGTGAGGGTTTGCCGGCGGTGGTGCCGAGGTGGAGTCATAGGATTCTTCAAGCCTCAGAGCTCTCTTGAGTTTTTAGCCTAGGGTCTAAGCCTCCAAAGGTCCAAGCCCCTTTTAATATGGGGAGAGGGGTCTATTTATAGATTTTTTAGAGTAGTATGCCCCTTAAATATGAAGAAAATCCATGATAAATTCGAAGATCTCCATCAGATGACCCATATTAATTCCCTTGATCATAGAATGTTCATCAAGCATTTAGTGTCTTAATGATGTTAAAATGAAGCAATCTTGGGCTCGTTGAGCCGCTCGATTCAACAATAAGCATGCTATATTTGAATATCATTTTGTCATCCAATTAATGCTTTGGAGCTTCCAAATATGCTCTAATCCTTTGGTTTGAGCCCGGAGTGGATCGATTTTTGTGTCATTGGGTTCGTCTCACTGGTACGTTCAATTTGATTATAAGTTTGTTGAAATTGGAGTTTGGATGATCTCGCGTTTAATTTTGCAAGTTGCCAACTTGAATATGCCTGAAGATTCATGCTTGATCAAGGCAATCTTTGGTGACGTATCAACTCTTATTAAATCAGGTAGGAACATGTGAAATTATACACTATTCCAATGAGTATTACATTGTATGCCCTATATGGAGTTTACTATGAACCCGAGGAGCCTATTGTGAAACTACTTCAACTGGGCAGATCCCAATGGTTTTTCCCTTTCAAATTTTCAATATAAAAACTTATATCGCCAATGCTCTTTTCATTTATCTGTTTGTATAAACTTATGTCACCAATGTTCTTTTCATTTATCTATTTGTATATTGAATCTTCGTGTAAAACTAAGATTCAAAACTCTCTCTATTGCCACATGCAAAGAATAATATCATAATCATCTTTGAAATATGATTCACTCACTATTCAAATATCAAATATTGTAATTTTTTTTTAGCCTCATGTGGTAAAGATGAATATTAAAATCATCACTTACAAGAAAACCCATATAATTATATTCAAGTCAAGAATATTTAATATAATAGATCAATCAAACATTATTATCCAACCAATGATACATCAACTCATAATTATTATTCCAACCTTAGATTAAAAAAAAATGTTACCAACCAAACCCTAAACAATAGCAATTGCTTACAAAAATATCAAATTTTATAAAATCACCATATCACATACATTTAAGAATGAAACAATGTGCTGATAAGCATCTTTCAATTTACTCCCATTCCTATCATCAAATCTCATCTACATTATTAAACATCTACTACTGATTAATCCTTCTTTCAAATGGATTTACATATATATCATTTTATTTCATGCTATTTACATATTTAACATCTAAAATTTTAATATTACATGCTTACCACACATAGAACAAATACGGATGCATGAAATAAAATATTAAAGTTTATAAGATGGTATGGGTGATATGAATGAAATATATATATTATTGATATATTTGATATTAAAATTTTATATGAGTGGTAAGAATATAATATTAAAATTTTAAGTGTTATATATATAAATAGCATGAAATTAAATGGTATGTATGTAAATTCCCCAAAAAATAAGAGATAAAATGAGGACCAGCTCATGATTAATTTGACATTACTTCCAACTGAAATAATAGATTCCTTCATAACTTTCTCACCAAGAACCCACCCTCTTGTACTTCTAATTCATCACAGCATGATTTGATAAACAACTAACCACTTTCAGCATTCACTCACAAAGCTGTAAAGCTACATTAAAAACAGTAGAATTTGTACATTAAGGCTTAGTTTCGGGAGAAATTATTCTGTGCCGACACTTGACTGTTCGGAAGTAAATCAGAACGCGTCACGTCATCCGGTACATAGCTGTCGTACACAGCAAATAGGTGATGTGGAGCATTCTGATTCGCTTCCGGACGGCATCCATATCCGCACAGAATAATTTCACTAGTTTCTGACGGATCTTATTGTTTCTTAAAACAGTTTTACTTGATACTTTAATAAGTAGGAAAAAAAGTCACCCCAAAGCCTAAGTTAATGAACAGTAAGGAAAAGTAAAAACAAAAGATCAAACAAAGAACATTAAAACTCTTCAATTATTTGAACAACCACATTAAACATAAAACCACTCATAGTTCTGAACTGAAACAAGTAATTAATTAGGATTCAGCGACTGCGACGATAAATAGTAAATGAGGAGAGAACAACGAGGAGAAGAAGAACAGCTGACGCTATGAGAGAAAGTAATGTAGAGCTCCCAATATGGCGACAGAAAGTTTCAAAATTATTACAGATCTTATTCCACAGAACATGTGAGTTTCCTTTCAGTCCAATATATGCAGTAGAGCCTGCACATCCTGTAGCTGATGCCATAATTCCTGCCAACAACTTTAACAACATGAACATGATCATGATCAGACTCTCTGTGAATCAATAAAAATCGAATTTTTTTAAAAAAATTTGCTTTGATTAACATGTTCTTACCAGGTCTATGACCATCAGTTTAAATAGAGAGCTTGAAGAAGGAGATGATTTTGAGCGGTAGGAAGCTGCAGAGATGATCAAGCTGATGAAGCTGTACAAGGTTGTGATCGATAGTGCAACCAGAAGATATCTGTAAATCATTAAACAAACAAGATGAAGATATTGGCGAATCATATAAGCCCAGATCTAGTAAATCTTCAGAGTTTTAAAACAAAATTATCAAATTTTGCAGTGTCGATTCTGTAAAATTGTTGGATGTTTGTTTCAGAATTAAAGATTTGAGAGAGGAGAAATGTTAGAAATCATAAATTTATCAAATTGATGAGAATTGAAATACCAAAATTATATTTTTGGAAGAGATTTAGCAAAATATGGCTTCAAAACTGCCAAAATTAGGATAAAAACAAAAAATACCTTTTTTTTAAAAAAAAATCATCACAGTGTACTTCTCTGAAAAAATAATTTTTTTAAAAAAAAATTTACCAAATATAAATGTGTCGGTTGGCCCTGTAAAAGAAAACTGTGAAGAAAATCATCACAGATTAACCCACAATATTAAAAAAATTGCAAATTACCACACAAAATTACTTACATAAACGCAGGAGAATTGGTAAACTTGGCGGATCGAGTGATAGTGATGGTGAGGACGGGAATCGTCACAGTCTGCTTGCTCGTTAACAAAACCACCAAAGCAGTCAAAGAGAACGCGAACAATAATAATCGCAGTGCAAAATCCAGGCCGGAGAAGCTCTTCAACTTCACCGGAGAAGCGCCGTAGCCGGATTCCATCTGCCGGTCTTTTCCGCCGGTGCTGTTGAGCGCAACCTCCGGTGTGGACGCCATAGGAGGCAGGAGTAGTTAGCTTAGCAGCTCTACTTTCCTCAGCTGCCCAACCTCTCAAATCAATCAATATTTAAGCTTGAAGCCTTTGCAATTTATATACTTATCCTTCTCTCTCTCTTTTTTTTTTTTGGATAAAAAACATTAAATTTATTTTTTGCTCGCCAGCTAATTATTCGGCTCCATTTAATTTTCGAATCTATTTCGAGCTGAGCCTGAATCAATTGAAAATATATAAAATAGAATTAAAAAAATAATGATTTTGATTAACAATTATTATAATAAAATAAAAAAAAAGTAATGAGAAATTTGAAAATAAATAAGAAAATACTATTTGATATAATAAATTAATAAGATATATCTTTTAAAAATTTTAATAGATTTATAGATTCAAGATTACACCTCTAACTAACATCATGTGAATAAATAGTAATAAAAAAATTTATTGAATAAAGTCAAATAGCCATAAATTGAGGCTACAGGCAGCATTTAAATATTAGTTGTTAGACATTTCTTACTTATTATCTCTATCTTATGATTAAAGATTTCTTTGAGATAATTTTTTTATTATTTTTTAAATTAATTTTTT